TCGACGTGCATTATATGATCAAAGTGTCTACCTGTTTGCAAGCAATATTCGAAAAAAGTGTTATATCGGATTGCGGTGAAACCAAAGTAACTCAAACTATTTTCATTCACTCCAATAGTGAAATTGTGGATTTCGAAACGTTTTTGGCATCATTTTACGACGAATATATCGCTAATTATATCAAGAACCGCGTCACCGAAATAGAACTTCGCGGAAGTGGGTTTTCATTGAAAGAAATTGTTGAAATAGAAATGCAAGCATGTAGTTATGACCCCTACAATGGTGCGACGTATATCAAGACACCAAAAAAACTGGACAGTAAAAAAGCCATAATAAACGTGCAAAATGATGATAACCAGTGTTTTAAATATGCGATTTTGTCCGCAATTAAGGATATTAAAAAGAATCCTCAACGTGTCTCGCATTACAAACGTTATGATAATGAACTAAATTTCGCCGACATAAAATTCCCCGTTGGGTTGAAGAATTTGAAAAAATTTGAAGAACTCAATCCAATGATATCAATAAACGTTTACATGTGGAATGAAGAAAGTGAGAAAGTGCGCCCTCTGAGGTTGACCAAAAATGTTAAATCGACACATATTCACTTGCTACTGTTAACCGAAGTTGATAAAAACAATGAAACACCGAAATCACACTATTGCTGGATTAAAAACCTAAGCGCATTGCTCAGTGCTCAAGTGTCAAAAAATTGTCGAAAAAAACTATTTTGCGATAGGTGTCTCAATCATTTCATGCATTTCGAAAAATTGGAAGAACATAAATTAGCGTGTCTAAACCAAAATGAATACCAAATTATAATGCCCAAGCCTGGACTCGATGATACTGTTACATTTGAACACTATTACAAACAATTACCAGTGGATTTTGTTGTTTATGCAGATATTGAATCAATTCTACGAAAACCAAGTGATGATGATAATTCATTCAAAAGTGAAAAAACATCAGCTTTCCAAAAACATGAGGTGTTCAGCATCGGCTTTTACAGCACAGGAGCTTATGCTGATTCGAGATATCGTTCTTATCGTGGACCTGATTGTGTTGAATGGTTTGTTAGTGAAATGGAGAGTATCGCACACACAGCAAGCGAAGTGTTGTCTAACAATGAACCAATGGAAATGACAAATGAGGAAGAAGTATTGTTTATATGGGCTGAAGAATGTCATATATGTGGAAAACCGTTCTTTGATGAAACAGATAAAGTTCGTGATCACTGTCACAATTCAGGTGCATTTCGTGGTGCTGCGCATAATACATGCAATCTGAATTATCAAAGAGCTAAATATGTCACCGTGGTGTTTCATAATTTGTCGAATTATGATTCACATTTCATCGTTAAAGCGTTAGCTCAAAAAATCGCAGGTGACATATCTATTATACCACGAAATGATGAGGTTTATATCTCATTTTCGAAACACGTTGATGGTACCCGTGATGCGCGTACCGGAAGAGGTGGTGTAAAACTACGATTCATAGACTCTTTCCGTTTTATGTCGCGATCTCTCGACTTTCTTTCTTCAAAACTACCATCAGAACAGAAGCGAATTCTTAAATCAGAGTTCTGTAATATAAGCAGTACACAACTGAAACTGCTTGAACGAAAAGGTGTTTTCTGCTATGACTATTTGGACTCTGTTGACAAGCTTTCCGAAACAGAATTGCCTGCAAAGGAGAAATTTTACAGTAAACTCAATGAGTCTGCCATTAGCGATGAAGAATACGCACACGCTCAAAACGTATGGAAAACCTTTGATGTTAAAACGCTAGGAGAATATTCGGACCTGTACTTAAAAACAGATGTGCTTCTTCTCGCTGATGTATTTGAAAATTTCCGAGGAACGTGTCTCCACAATTTTAAACTAGACCCTGCGCACTATTTTACCGCCCCCGGATTATCATTTGACGCTATGTTAAAGTACACAGAAGTGGAAATTCAATTGTTGACTAACATAGATATGCTGCTGTTTATTGAACGAGGTATTCGCGGTGGCATTAGTCAATGCAGCAAACGATATGCAACCGCGAATAACAAATATATGGACGATTTCGATCCATCGCGTGATACGAATTATCTGATCTATCTTGATGCGAATAATCTATACGGTTGGTCTATGATGCAGCACCTCCCGATAAATGAATTCGCTTGGTGTCATAAGCAATTCGTTGCTTTAGAAATCATGAGCATACCCGATGATGCTGAAATCGGATACATTTTTGAAGTGGATTTAGAATATCCTCAGCACTTGCATGACCTTCATCAAGACTATCCATTTTGCGCTGAAAGTAGATTAGTACCCAACACAAAGAATGATCGAAAATTATTATTGACTCTCTTCGATAAAAATCAGTATGTCATCCATTATAGAATGCTTAAATGTGCACTGCGAAACGGGTTGGTGCTCAAGAAAATACACAAAGTGATTCAGTTTCAACAGTCTCAATGGTTGAAACCGTATATTGATTTAAACACAAAATTAAGGACGGAAGCAAAGAATGAATTTGAAAAAGAGTTCTATAAGCTCATGATTAATGCTATTTTCGGTAAGACTATGGAGAATATGCGTTGCCGTGCAGATATCAAATTGAGAAGCACGTGGGAAGGTCGTTACGGGCTCAGATCATACATTGCTATGCCTAATTTCAAGAAATACAAAATTTTTGATGAAAATCTGGCTGCTGTGGAATTAAACAAAACACATATCAAAATGGAGAAGCCAATCGCCATCGGCATGAGCATTTTAGATATATCCAAAGTCTTAATGTATGACTTTTTTTATGATTATTTGAAGCCAAAATATGGAAGTAACGTTACTTTATTGTACACTGATACGGACTCGTTCATCTTAGACGTCAAAACTGAATGTTTCTACAGCGATATGTCGAATGATATTGATAAGTATGATACAAGTGATTATCCAGAACCAAATCAATTCAATATTCCTCAGGCGAATAAAAAAGTTCCAGGTGTATTCAAAGATGAATTAAGGGGAGAAATTATGGCCGAATACGCGGCGCTACGCGCAAAGATGTACACGTATAAAATAATGAGAAAGATGATGAAATCGAAAAAAGCAAAAGATGTTTTAGAAATAAAAAAAGCCAAAGGTGTGAAGAGAAGTGTGTTAGAAAGAAAAATAAAATTTAAGGATTACATGAACTGTATTAAAAATAAGGAATTTAGTGTTATAAAAAATCAGAATTCTATTCGCTCTAGATTACATCAAGTTTATACCATTTCACAGCGAAAAGTTGCTTTAAGCCCAAAAGATACTAAACGGTTTTTACAGGAATGTAACATTCACACATTGCCGTGGGGACATTATAAAATCCCAAAATAAAAAAATCACGTACAGTCTATATAATTTCGCTTGATACATGAACAGTCTATTCATAACACACATTATCGTATAATACTGACCTACGACAAGAAAGATCGTGCCATTGTTTTACACGCGTCCATAAATAGGCAAATTTATTGATTTGCTTTTACCCAAATTCGTTTGCATACGAAATGCACGCGCTCATAAATAAGAAAATTTATTGATTTTTGCTTTCACCCAACTTCGTTCGCATACGAATTGCATGTGCTCATAAATAAGAAAATTTATTGATTTGCTTTTACCTAAATTCGCTTGCATACATAATGCACGTATATTAGATAATAAGAGAAAAATACACGCATTTTTTTTTCTGATTCACATGAAAAGAAGCATGTAAACATATTCTTTATTGAAATAAAAATATTAAAGTACATCTTTTTCATTAATCCACGAATTGTGTCGGCTATCGAATCCGAGCCACTTTACAAACACTTGATCACCTTTTTGTCGAATAATTTTTTCCACCAGATATAAATCAGGATATTTAACCAATTGTAATTCTTCTGCATATACAGTGCCTTTTATATCATGCCCCTCTAAATCGACCAACAAATAAGTGACTGGATTCGTCGGCTGCACTGTTTTTATTTTGAATATTTCTGTCGTCCAATTTGGAGTGTATCCTTTCTCGAAAATGTGCTTGTATTTGCTCATTCGCACAAAATCACCGTTTCTAAATTTAGCTCTTGCTCTCTTTGGAAAAGAAATTTCGCTTACAGTATCCAACACCATTTGCTCGGTCGATGCGTTCACATCAATTGGTTTTATTTTAATGGTTCTGTGTTTGGTGTGATTATAATCATCGATTAATGACTCCAAAATGTCTACCCATTCGTAAGTACCGCGATAGCTGAACTCTTTCCACATGCGATTCTTCAAAGTTCTGTTGAAACGTTCAATGATGGCCGCTTTTTTCGTTGTAAATGTTGAGTACATGTGAATTTTTCGCTGCTGTAACATTTTTTTCATAGATGTATTATAAAATTCGACTCCGTTATCTACGTGGAGGTGTTCAATTGGATGACCAAGCGAATTTAATACAGACTCCATTGCGTTCGTTACTTCTTGAGCTGTTTTATTTTTCAATGGCCGCGCATACGCTTTTTTTGAGAAAATATTAATTACGGTCAGAATGTATTTCATGTTGCTATTTTTTTTCGCGTATGGTATCATTTCAACCAAATCGGCTTGAATCGTATCGTTGATTCCTTTCAATACGGTTTTTCGTCTTTCAAAATTTCTTCGTGCATCGCGATGCAGTTCGTTGACAAGATCGCGTTTACTCATTTTTCTCTCTTTACACTTTATATTTCACGATGGACTATACTATTAAAAGGTGAGTAACGAACTAAATTGTCGTGTATGATCAGACAATATGCGGCAGTATTAGCGGGGAAATTCGATCGAGCCTCTAATTCAAGCCGAACGTCTACCATTCCAGCCTTTACACTTTCGTCTGATCTTGTGCAATCGAAAGCGAACACTGGTTTCTTCAGAAAGTTCGACAGATCATAACCGGTTGGATTGTAAAATGATGCATCATTGTAATATAACTGTTGCACGCTTTGCACCATGTAATACATTTCATGGAAGTGATTTTCACTGATATTTAAATTTAGGTCATCATATGGATAGCGTTCATTATTCAAATACAATTTTATATTTGAAATATTGCAGTGATCAAACTCTGATGAGTCATTGAGAATGTTAGCGCGGTTTGTTTGAAATGCAACTATAACGTAACGAGGTTTTCTCACTTGACTTGTCGTTTTCACACTCCATGTGTGACGGTTTGTTGGTGGTAAAACAGGCAACTCATATAAATCCCACGAACGAAACGGGATGTAGAGACTATCATTTCGCGATATCATTTTAAGCATCATAAGTTTTGCACGATCG